AAGGAGGTGTGACCCGCGAGTTTCGCGGGTTGCACCTTCACGGGCCACGGTTAACCTGCTAGCCCGTGAAATTTTTTTTTTAAAAAAATTTGAAGGGGGGGAGGGGGTAAGATAAAATTATTGATGATGTTGTTGAAGACTTCAAAAATCTTGCAATTTCTGAAGATTGATTGGAAAACAAATATTAAAATATATAATTTTTGAATAATTTAATTATAATTAAGACTTAAATAAGTGTCAATCTAGTTGTGATGTATTTAAACTATAAATTATAATAAAAGTAGGTGTCAATCTAGTTGAGATGTACTTAAACTATAAATTATAATAAAAGTATGTGCCAACTAGTTGAGATGTACTTATGCTATAAATATTTAATAATAATAATAATTAGAAATGCATTTAGTTGTTATTTGTTTAAGTTAAATTTAACATTGCAAAGTTATAAATAATTTATGTAATATTAAATTTGAATTCTATGTAAATATTTATTGGTATAAATATGAATTTATTATTTAATTTTGCAAAATTATAAATAATTCATGTAACATTAAATTTGAATTTTATGTAAACATTTCTTAGTATAAATATGAATTTATCATTTTGTTCAATTCTTAGTTTACATTTAACAAAAAAAAATTATTTTTTTGCTATAAATATGAAATTTTTTATATTTTTATAATTTTATTTATACAATAATACGGGTCAAATAGGAACAAACCGCGACCCGCACTACTCGTGACCCGCATGGGCTCGACCCGGATGGATCAGCGGGTGGTCCTGGGTTGTATTCCAAAATTTGTGGACCGACCCGGAACCTATAACGAGCGGGCTTTTTTTATGCGGACCGTTACCGGGATCATATGTTGGCGGACCGACCCGATCCACCAGAATTGACACCTCCACAATTTAATAAGGACTTTACTTGGTGTACATAAGTGTGTCATTTTCCTCACATAAGATGGGACCCACATTTAGGGTGTCATTTCTCCCACACCCACATTTTTTTCCCACGCAGGAAAGAAACCGTACACTTTTTTATTTACACCAAGCATAATTCTTCGCAAAGCGGGTGGGGCCGGCGACCTTTTCGTGATAGGGTTGTCCATCTGAGTGTACACCACCCAGCATTTTTCATCCGATTGAGAGCTCTTCGATTTTCGTAGTACAAAAGAGCATTTTAACTTGAATTCTTTTGCCCGTCGGCGTTTCGGTTAGTATATTGTTCTTATTTTCACTTCAAACATTTTCTTTTCTTTATCCTTTTGCTCAAACATGTTTTTTGATTCATCTTCTTTTCAAGGCCATGAATACAATGTGTAGCTGTCGGGAAATGCTATAAATTAGTTGCTATGTTGGGTGTATGCTTATGTCCATCATTAATTCTACTTAATGGCTGATTAATGTAAGGTTACTTTTTTGTTGTGATATTCCTTGTCAAATCTGGGGTTTTATTTATATGATTCCTGCAGTTGGATGAATTTTAAATATAGGGTGAAAAGTGGGTTGTGTTTCTTTTTTCAAGAATTTGCTGCTCAGTTGAGTATTTATGGAAATGATTAATGGAATTAATATAGGTTTCAGTTTCGCGTATGTTCTGCTAAATGTTGCACAATTTGATGGTTGCTTGAGAAAGTTAGATCAATAGCTGCTGGGCTTCTATAACTTTTCTTGTATCATTTTACTTGTTTTATTGTGTAGTGCGATTGCATTTTTTGCAAGTTTTTTGTCTGAAATATGATCTTCAGAATAATTTCAAAAGTTAAAAAGGATTATACTTTATTTTGCTCAATTTGTAATTTACTTTGTATTGCATTTCTGTAAAATGCAGTTTTGGTCTTATTACCAAGTTATTTTCTAGTGCCTGGATATGGAAGAAGAACTGGGGCAGTACGTTCACTTATTCCTATTTAGTGTTGTCCAGTCAGCATTCGCCGCATTAGTGTATTTCGATACTGTAATTTGAATCCTTTTGCTTTTGGGTTATGTAACATTAGGAATCTCATACTTCAGTCTTAAATTGTTAGCGTTTAGATATTCAAGTGATTTCTTGACTAGTACTGACTGTGTAATGTGTATGTTAGCCAATTCATTTATTCTCCCTTCATTGCTTTTTATTTTTTTGTGCTCTTTTTAATAAATCTTCTAGTTTTATGATTAACAAATGTAACCCTCGATTCTTGTCCATTTGTTACCATATTCGATAAATAAAATAAGATTGAAGTGAAATTAATGCAATAGTTTGAAGGTAGTAATAAACAAATTAACAAATTTTAATGTTGCTAAAAAAATATATTGCCTAATTTTGAAACTAAATTGCTTAGAATTTTGAATTTTGCAATTATGGTACGTTTAGGGTCCATTTGACATGATTTTTGAAATGTGAGGGATAATTGTTTGTCACATTATCGATAATTTATCATCTTGATGATTAATAACATTATTCAAGTAGCTGTTTTTGAACATATTTGAATAACTTTTGGATGTGTTTTGTTTGATAAAAATAACTTTCAGAGAATGTTGATTTAATGTAGATGTTTTGGAAATTCTTTTACTATCAGGAGTTTCGTCAAATAGACCTTATTATGTTGAATTAGAATGTCAACATAATCTTTTCATTTAAGCGCAAATGGTGTAATCAATTAAAGCTTTGTTTGGTGTTAATAACATATGTGGTATAAAAGTTGTAAATTTCATAAAATATGAAAAATTAATATTCTTATCGACTTATCCATTCCAAACAAGGGCTAAGAAGTTAGAAGAGTAGAGAACCAACCAGGTCAAAGGTCAAATACAATAAGGGCCTGTTTGATAGCCCTTTATTTTCCATGAAAGTTGGAATTGAAATTCCGTTTCCTACTTTTGTCGTGTTTGATTGCACTTTTTTTCCCTGGAATTGGTTTTCCACCTTTTTCTAAGTACAATCATTTGATGCACAAAAACTTGATTTTGTTTTCTCACCTATTTGGTGGGAAAACATTTTCCACCATTTTTTTTTTTTTCTTTTTTTTTTTGTTGCAATGTGAACAAATTCTAGATACAATGGTAAAAAAAATTTTCACTTTTATTGACAACTTCCATACAAAACAAAGTCAAACGAATGATATTCGGTATGGTAAATTTTTTTTTTTTTCAAATTTTTTTTAACAATTGGAACAAATTTTAGACCAAATGGTAGAAAAAATTATCACTTTAATGGACAAATTCCATAAAAAATGAAGTCAAATGGACACAAAACTTTCTACATTTTCCATAGAAAATTTTACCAATCAAACACAATTAATTACAATTCCCAGTAAAACATTTTCTAGGAAAATCAATTTCCTGTAAAACATTTTCTTTCCACCCATTTTCCAACTTTGCAATCAAACGGACCCTAATAGTCAAAATCAACGGAATTGATCCAACTTCTTGAAATCGTCAATAATTTGAGAAATGAAGAATTAAAGGCTCCGTTTTTTTCCTCTTAATTTTTTGTAAAACCAAAAAGGGGGCTAAATCTCACTACAATTCCAAAGTTAAGCTTGTTGCTCGATATAAATGTTACAATACTATGATGAGTAATTGAAATTTAAGTAATTATAAAATGTGTGAATAAAAATTATGCAGGAGAAATAATAATTACTTCCTAACATCATTAGGAATTTTTTTTTTTTTAATTTTATTGTGTAGGTAAAAGTAAATGAATTGCAATTGTTTGAAAGTTGCTGTTAAATATTGATTAGATTATAATTTAATCATCAAATTCATGTATAAAGAAAATATGAATATTTGTTAGTGATTACTCTCCTTTTCAAACCAGCAGCAAATCTCGCTACAATTTAATAAGGACCTTGCTTGGTGTACATAAAAAAATATTCATAAAAATGTCATTTTCCTCACATGGGGTGGGATCTACGTTTAGGGTGTCATTTTTCTCACATGCAGTGGGACCCACGTTTTTGTCCCACGCCACCACGTGAGGGAAAGGAGACTCTTATGCACACTGTTTTATATACACCAATGCCTTGTTTGGAAGGGATTAAATTTTTCTACAGTAAATCAATTCTCATTTTCAATTACACATTTTTCAATAAAATAACATTTTTCATCACATCGATAATTTTTTTTTCTTTTTTAACCACATATTTCTCGTCATATCACTATTTAAAATTAATTCTTCCCCAAAAAATCTATCCCAACCAAGCTCCAAGCATAATTCTTTGCAAAGCCGGTGGGGCCCGCGACCTCTTCGTGATAGGGTTGTCCATCTGAGTGTACACCACCCAGCACTTCTCATCCGAATGAGAGCTCTTCGATTTTCGTAGTACAAAAGAGCATTTTAACTTGAATTCTTTTGCCCGTCGGCGTTTCGGTTAGTATATTATGTCTTTGTTCTTATTTTCACTTCAAACATTTTCTTCTCTTTATCCTTTTGCTTAAACATGTTTTTTGATTTATCTTCTTTTCAAGGCCATGAATACAATGTGTAGCTGTCGGGAAATGCTATAAATTAGTTGCTATGTTAGGTATATACTTATGTCCATCATTAATTCTACTTAAAGGCTGATTAATGTAAGGTTACTTTTTTGTTGTGATATTCCTTGTCCAATCTGGGGTTTTATTTATATGATTCCTGCAGTTGGATGAATTTTAAATATAGGGTGAAAAGGGGGTTGTGTTTCTTTTTTCAAGAATTTGCTGCTCAGTTGAGTATTTATGGAAATGATTAATGGAATTAATATATGTTTCAGTTTCGCGTATGTTCTGCTAAATGTTGCACAATTTGATGGTTGCTTGAGAAATTTAAATCAATACCTGCTGGGCTTCTATAACTTTTCATGTATCGTTTTACTTGTTTTATTGTGTAGTGCAGTTTTTTGTCTGAAATATGATCTTCAGAATAATTTCAAAAGTTAAAAAGGATTATACTTTATTTTGCTCAATTTGTAATTTACTTCGTATTGCATTTCTGTAAAACGCAGTTTTGGTCTTATTACCAAGTTATTTTCTAGTGCCGGGATATGGAAGAAGAACTGGGGCAGATAAAAGTGATTGTTATACAAGGACACAAATTGGTTATCCGGGACTTCAAGACCAGTGACCCTTATGTTATCCTCAAGCTAGGGGACCAGGTTGACATATTTTCTTGTTCTGTATGGCGTTTCTCTTTGGGTTTATCAGTACCATCATTTTGTTCCTTTATAATTCATTGTTCACTCTCCATGGTTCACGGTTATGTTTGCTTCATTATTAGAAGTGCAGTAGGGATCTCTATCCATTTCTTAAAGATGTGCATATGTTGGTTTGGCACAAACTAATATATCGTGATGTTTCCACAGTAATATTGCATATCCACTTAGAAACTTTTCTTTTGTCTCCAGACAGCAAAGACCAAGGTTATAAACAGCTGCCTTAATCCTATTTGGAATGAAGAATTTAGTTTCTCTCTTTCAGAACCTTTTGGGGTTCTCAAATTGGTATGTTTCTAATACTTCAATCGTCAATCCAGATTTAACTCAATCTTATTTTTGCTGGAAGAATGCTTTAAAAGGTTATCTATAGTTCTTAGTATTTCTACTGGCTATAACTTTTTTCCATCAGAATATTATGGGAGAAACCGGAAATTTGCAGTTTAATTCTAATATAGGTTCTTAATACATTAACTCACCATCGTGGATGTTAACTTCCCCAAGCCCTGACTTTTGTTCAAGATCCTTGAAAGATTCCATCCTATTATCTCAGAAAATGGTATTTTAGTAGGAATAAACTCGTTTTCTTTTTCCTTTTTTTGTTTAGTAAAAGTAGCTTGAAATGGTTCCATTAAAGAGAATATCATGGAACATAAAAGTTTTACCTGTCAATGTAAAGAAATTAGGGTGTTTGGTGTAGATTAAAATCAGATTTTAAGTGGATTGTGATAGAAGTTTTTGAAATGTGTGGTTGAAAAGATGTGGGACTCATGAAAGATGTGGTTGATGTTGATTGTTTGACTTTGATTTAGATTAAAATCAGTTTAAAATCTGGCCCAAACAGATAATAAAATCGGAAAGAAATTTTTTGAATTATGCAGAACTATGTACCTTTATACTACAGTAAATGAAATGAAGTTGATACTGCAATTTTATAGAAAGTGTTTGATAAAGACCGTTTCAAGGCGGATGACAAGATGGGACACACTCAAATAAACCTTCAACCGCTAGCCGCTGCTGCCAGATTGAGGCAGATCCTTGGGGTCACAACTGATGGAACGACACTGAGGAAGGTTATCCCAGATAGCGACAACTGTCTAGCTGCTGACAGTTCAATAAATTGGGAAAATGGCGAGGTGGTTCAAAATGTTTGGTTGAGGCTTTGTGATGTTGATTCTGGGGAGATAGAGTTGAAGATCATATTGATTAAGCTTCCTCCAGTTTCTCCCCCAAAATAAAGTGGATTTGCATACAGAATCAACGATTCTCCAAAAGTATGTGGAAATATTTATGAAAGGTGTAGTATCATGCACTCGATCTGTACCCCTTTAACCATTAGCACTGTAAGTAGTTGTGTTATTATTGTTGAAGCTCCAGGGTATGAATCATTAGCTGCTAATATAGAATTTAAACCCCAGGTTTGTAGGTTGTATTGCTATCATGTCATGTAAAATTGCAGTGAACTCCAGAAAAATTGTTGCGAGGTGGCAAAAAGATTGCAACTGTTGTGGAAAATGATTATTAGAAATGGGTTTATTATTGTTTAATGTGTATTAAAAATAATATTGAAAAGCTGCCTAACTGGCTAGAGGAGAGCACGAAATTCGGGTGAAAAATTGGCCTTTGCTCAAGTATTTTGTTCAATGGCTAGGAGAAAAACATGGAAAGTTTTTTTCAAAAGCAATGATCTATTTACAAGATCCTTTATTTTGCTTGCATTTGTATGGTTGCAAAACATCTGAATTTTACCTTACATATTTTCTCTTTCTCAATTCAAGAAAATGAAGAACACAGTTTTTGGAATTTTTACATCCAACAAATTAATGGGTTTTCGGATAAAAAAATGAACAATGATTCCATTACCATATTTTTCTGCTAAATCATACATTTGATGCCTGTTGTTTGAATCCAATACGAAGAAACAAGGAAACTGAACAATTTTGAGGTAACGTAATTTGATTTCTTCTTTGTTCTTATTTCTAATTTGGCCATACTTTTGTATTCTCTTATAAAATGTGGAATTGCCAAGAATGGGCAAATTTATGTCTTTTTCAAAATCTATAATGAATAAATGGGTTTTTATTTTATTTTATTTGAACTAAATGTCCGTATTCATTTTGGTTTTGACGATTCTTGAATAGGGCAATCTTTGTCAAAATGAAACGACGAGGGTATCTTCAAGAATTGCATCATTTTCTTACAAAAGTTGCAATTTTCATTGTTTGAATGTTAAATTTGGAAGCTAGTCCCTTGCAATTTGTCTAATATCTGGAGAAATGTTGCAAGTTGGAAGGTTATGGTTGAAATGTTTACTGGTTTTGCAGGTTGTGGAGGAAACTGCACAATGTTCGGTTTTAGCGTAAGAACAGGTCAGAATCGCTCGGTTTCTCCGAGGTCTGTGGATTCTCCAGGCTCTCTTAGTTCTCCAACATCTATCGGAACTCCAAGGTCGATAAGTTCTCCTAAACGAGATGTTGGAGAGATCGACACTAGAGCACCATTTCAATCTGTCAAGGCTGCTGTAAGTTTATTTGGTGAAGCTGGAGCCTCGCCCAAAACAAAGCCTGTCTTGAAGAAGACAAAGACTCTCGAAGAGGTAGAATGCATTAATTATATATTGCTCAATGCAATTGTCTAGATCTTCTTGTTACTTAAACTTTCGTGCTGCAGAGAGTGCTAGAGAAGGAGACACAACATCACTTCACCCTTAAAGAACTCAAGTATTACAGGGAACAACTTAGAAGTGCAGAAATTGCGAAGGCTCAAGCATTACGCGACTTGAAGAGGGCTAATAGAACCCTGCAAGAACTAACTAACAAGCTTGAAAACCTTAGTGAATCCAAACAAGCAGCATTTGAAGCTACAGAAGCTGCGAAAAAACGAGCTAAAGAACTTGAAGAGCAGAAATGCATAAGAGCTCAACTAGGTGATGATGCATGGAGGCTAGATGTTGACAGTGAAAGAGAACTGTACAAGGCCTCTGCAGCTGCACTTATTTCTACGAAACAAGAACTTACAACTCTCAGGCAGGATTTTGATGCAGCATTGGAAGCAAAATTGGCTGCATTTCAAGAAGAAGAAGAAGCCCAACATACCGCTAAAGTTAATCAAGAGACGTTAAGCCAGCTTTCAAAAGAAGTTACCTCCTTGCATGAAACAATCGGTCAAGTAAAGCTTGCCTCGATCCAGGCTCAAGAACAACATTCGAAGCTTATTGCAGAAAAGGAAGCCCGTCTATTAAACCATAAAACGGCTAAGGAAGAAGTTGACAAGAAAATTGCGTGTTTGAAGGCAGAATATGATCCTGAGCTTGGTGAAAATCTTGAGGGGAAGCTTGAAGAGACAACAAAGGCAATCAAGGTTTTGCAAGAACAGCTGAATGATGTAAAGGCTTCGGATTTGACTTCTTTAAGAACTATTGCTTGTGAGCTTGATGATGCTGAAAGGGCACTGCAAGAAATTGTAGCAGAAGAAAACTCATTACGATGTTCAGTGGAATCACTTAAACTGGAACTGGAGAATGTGAAGAGGGAGCATTCAGAATCAGAGATGAAGGCAGTCGAAACAGAATCGGCTGCTGAGAGTATGCAAGCTGATCTTGCAAAGAGCAAAACTGAATTGGAAGCAGCAATTTCAGGAGAAACCAAATCCGATGACACACATTTGGCTCTTGAGAAGCTATTGACAGAAGCTGAAAATACTCGACTGGAAGTAGAAGTAATGAAGAAAAAAGCTGAAGTGCTTAAGCAAGAAGCTGAAGAAGCACGAACTGCAACCAAGGAAGCGGAGGAAAAACTGCAAATTGCATTAAAAGAGGTTGAAAAGGCGAAGGCTGCAGAGAGACTAGCAGATGATCAAATTCATAACTCACCAAAACCTGATTCAAGCGGAGGATCTGGTAGGAGGATCAAATTGTCGGTGGAGGAATTTGAATCACTGAAGAAGAAAATTGAAGCAATCGGGCATGAGGCAGATGTTAAAGTGGCAACTGCCATGGCTCAAGTGGAAACTATAAATGGAAGTGAAAAAGAATTGCTAAAGAAAGTGGAGACAGCTTTAAAAGAGAACGAGGATCTACAGTCAGAAATTGAGGATGCTCTAAAGAGAGCAGAAATGGCGGAAGCTGCGAAAAAGGTGGTGGAGGGTGAACTCCAGAAGTGGCCCCAAAAAGAACAGAGCGAAGTTGGAGAATCTTATATTTCTCAAGAGACATAATGTGAACGTTCTGGGATTTTGAAGCAAACTGAAATATCGTGAGATCCTTACATTTTTCGTATACAAAATTTTTTCCAATTAACAATCTGTATTCTAGATAGATGGTTCTTAAAAAATGAAGGCATCCAGAAAAGGCTCTGTAAAGGATTTTTTATTCAATGTTTGGATTAGATTAATAGTTTAATAGAAAAGAAAAACAGAACAATAGAATCCATTGTGAACTCCAGATATGACCACATCGAGATGTTTACAATCATTTAAATTTATGACAAAAAGGATTTAGCTAACATGTAAATTACATACATCATATGTGGCAGTTAATCCAAGATCTACATGATACACTTATACTGGATTATACTATAATGGTTAGCGTTAAGAACAAGAGATCTTTGTTGGATGTGATTTAGCACCTTACCAAAACAAGATGACTTGATCTTCTAGGACTTACCATTATCGACTCTCAGGTCCTCCAATGATTCACGACATTCATCGAGGGCCTTAAATTTCTCTAATTCAGATTCTAGAGTCTTCGCAATCTCTACTCCTTCGACAGCATCCTCAGGCAAAGTCACGTGCACAGATCCCTGTTTTCGCGGCTTGACAATTTCACGAATCAGGGATTGCTGCTTAATATAATTGTAAAGTTGTTGGTGAAAGGGGTGGTCCAACGAATAGCAATTGCCAACATAGCTGTCTGAATGTTCTGTAGAGCCGGAACTTCTTTTACGGCAGAAATGGGGAAGGGATGAATAATCCATTATCTGCACCAAACAAGCAAACAATGATAAAGATCTTGCCAAAAGACGAAAAGTGTGGAGAAGTAGCATGTGGCGTAAAGTTTTCGTAGTGGGACTATAACATGAGCCAGTTCCTTCATATGGAGTCGTTTTAAGTGCTTGTTTTGTACACAATAATAACAACAAGACTGGACAATATGGTTCCTATTCCAGGCATCAACTATGTCTGCAAATTATAAGAAAGCACTACCTTCAATAGATCATCCTGTCCACAACCAGATAATACATTGATTTTCATTTTTGTCCTCTCCTGCAGAAGGGGCTTGACAACCTGATAACAGCTCAGACGTAAATTTTACAAACGAATAAGTATTTGATTTTCACAAAATAAAATTTAAAATACATTTACTTCTAACTGAATTTGAAAAGACATCTATAAGCCATAAACTTTAACTACATTGTGAAAATTAGATATTTGAATGCAGATAAAGACAATAACGAGGGATAAACCTTCCAACAAGCGGAGAAGATATATGGGGCATTGACAATATAATAAGTAACTGTTTTCTCTGGGTAGTTTAGGTCATCAATGGAAGAAGTAATAGTTAAGAGCTGCAACAAAAAGGAAAATTAGCATCAAAGCTAAGAAACTATACAACACAGAACAAGTTAGAGGAGAAATCATAGGCAGGAAGCTATAGAACAACTTGCTGCCAATGTACCTTTATTTGGCTTAATGCTGAAAGCTTCAGACCAGTCATATCTAGTATCTTTACGCATTTGCTAATGTGCTTCCCATACTTTTTGGTTGCAGCAGGCTACAACAAATAAATTATGAGTACAGAAAATGGACGTAAAAGGAAAAAGTCAAAAAGAATAGCAAGTATGTGCTCACCAAAATGACACGATCCCGATATTCATTGATCTGAATGTGGGATTGTACATAATAATGAACCTGCAAATAAAGAAAAAGAAATTGATGCAAGAAAGATGTTGAATTGATATTAAGCAATAAGAAACATAGAAGGATTAATTTGCATGTGAAAAGGTCAGTGCTTTGAGGGAAAGGAAATTATTTTTGGCAATAAAATCGATATGTTTTACCATCCAACACAAAAATTTGAACTAACTGATCACTTCATATCAAGCCACACAAGCCTTTCCAACAAAAGAAAAAATTTAATAATTTATTTTTCAGGTAAGTCTTCTTGATAGTTTATCTATAGATGCTGAATACCAGTATTTCATTCTCCAGTGTGAATGTGTTGATATTACATCTTGTTGGT